GTCGGGGGCAATCACACAGGTCCCTCAGCCTTCATCCCTTCGACATCTTTATTTGATGCCAGGGGCTATCATACAGGCCCATCGGCCTTCATCCCTCCGGCATCTTTATTTGATGTCGAGGGCCATCACACAGGCCCCTCGGCCTTCATCCCTCCGACATCTTTATTTGATGCCGGGGGCTATCATACAGGCCCATCGGCCTTCATCCCTCCGGCATCTTTATTTGATGTCGGGGGCAATCACACAGGTCCCTCGGCCTTCATCCCTCTGGCATCTTTATTTGATGCCAGAGGCTATCATACAGGCCCATCGGCCTTCATCCCTCCGACATCTTTATTTGATGTCGAGGGCCATCACACAGGACATCAGCCTTCAGCCCTCCGGCATCTTTATTTGATGCCAGGAGCTATCATACAGCCCCCCGGCCTTCATCCCTCCGACATCTTTATTTGATGTCGGGGGCCATCACGAAGACCCCTCGGTCTCCATCCTTCTGGCATCTGTATTTGATGCTAGGGGCTCTAACACAAGCCCACCTGGCCTTGCACCCCTCCGTCACCTTTATTTGATAACGGGGGGGGGGGGGGGGGGGGGGGTCCTTACACGCTCCTTAGCTTTTTCATGCAGGATCTAAGGCTGATCTTGGATATCCCCTCAGCAGATGGATACAACCGCCGCTCAACAATCAAGGCCGAAGGGTGCACTCCTTTTGCTTCATTCTGAGGGCATCCGGTGTACTCTTTTTCCCTCATTAGGATTTTTTTCCCATAGGGTTTTTTCCTAATGAGGTTTTTAACGAGGCATCTCCCCATTGTGGAACAAAAGGCGTCACCCCTCGGCGGCTCCTGCTGAAGGCATGCATCACTCTACTCCTATTTCCCTCGAGAAACTCTCGGCAAAAGGAGTGGGAGACTGGGGGACTCCCCTCGGCAAAACACGCAAATGCTAAAAATTTTCTATTTCTCAGCTACAGCAAGCTGAGGCAAGATCACAACGGCAATCTACTCCCCTCGACATGATGCTTTCGGCTTACAGAATGCCTCCGGCCACACAATGTCTTCGGCCACATGATGCCTCCGGCCACACAATGCCTTCGGCCATATGATGCCTCCGGCCACATGATGCCTTCGGCCACATGATGCCTTCGGCCACACAAAGCCTTCAGTCAACAAATGCCCTCGGCAAAGCACACAAATGCAGATCTCTCATTACTTTACAAACTACAACAAAGAAACACATACGAGCAACACACTTACACTCCCTTCAGGAAGCTCTCAGCCCTCGACATATGGGGGAATTGAGAAAATGAGGCACTCAACAGAACAGGGAAGCCTTCGGGGAAATCACCACAGCTACTCCTTTTCCCTCAAGTACCTTTCGGCAAAAGGAGTGGGGGACTTCTGATGGAGTATATGGCCCAGGGACCCCCGACCCACATACTTCCTCCACTACAATCAGGCCCATCAGGTCCAAACGGGCCAAGCCCAGAAAAATGGAGCTCTAAGCAGCCCACAATACGCAAAGGGGTGCCTTCGGCCCCATGGCCGAAGGCTACCAGTGACGGAATCGAGCTCAGAAACATCACATGAGAACAAGGCTTGAAAACCAAGCCTTCGCCAACTGCAGCCCTTGGCAGGTAGGAGCCCTCGATTAGAAGAGGCATCACAGGAGAACAAGGCTTGAAAACCAAGCCTTCGGCAACTGCAGCCCTCGGCAGATAGGAGCCCTCGGTTAGAAGAGGCATCACCGGAGAACAAGGCTTGAAAACCAAGCCTTCGGCAGGTGGGAGCCCTCGGTTAGAAGAGCCTTCGGCCCATCACCTTTCAGCCGAAGGCATCCACCTCGACAGAATATCCTCTTCACATGCGCCTGGATCACCGTACCAAGTACAAACGTCACATCCAATCACCGCATTTAATGCGGCCACATGCGAGTGCCAGTGCCACCCCGGTCGAGGTGACCCCTCGACCACCAGAAAACTGACACGTGTCCTTATCTAGCATTTATTACTACTATAAATAGCACCCCTTTCCCCCATTGTAAACCACGCTTAATACATATCGAATATACACTCTCTCTCTTACTTATTTTCTCTGACTTCTCTCTAGTTATTCTCCGCAATAACCCCTCAGATAAGCTACCCCCCGGGTACACTTATCCATCAATATATATAAAGATTTCTATTTTTCTGAGCTTTGTTTGAGTATATGGTAAGAACTCGATCCATAAACCAACTCACCTACCAAACAAACCCTGAAATAGAACAAGCTCTCGAGCGGTTGAAAAACAAATTCTCAAATACCGACTCGAGAGAATCATCAAGTGCTAGTTCTCATTCTTGCGAGTCCGAAGAGCCAATAACTATGGCTCAAGAAACAAGAACGTTGAGGGAGCTCACGGCTCCTAACTTAAATCAACAACCTCTATGCATCACCTTCCCCACTCTTGATGAAGGTGCTACATTTGAGCTCAAATCGGGCCTCATTCATCTACTCCCTTCATTTCATGGCCTAAGAGGTGAGGATGCAAACAAACATCTTGCGGAGTTTCATATAGTTTGCACTAGTATGAACCCGAATAATGTTACATAAGAACAAATCAAGCTGAGGGCCTTTCCATTCTCACTGAAGGACACGACTAAGGATTGGCTATTCTATCTTCCCTCGGGAAGCATAGATACATGGGCGGCAATGAAGAAATGCTTCCTAGAAAGGTACTACTCCATGTGGTTCGTTCTCTCAAAGCCGCACCTGATCTTGGCATTCTTCTCTCCTCTGACAGCTCCTTACGCGTTCACGCTTTTTGTGATGCTGATTGGGCATCTTGTCCTATGACTCATCGGTCCAACTACTGATTATTGCACTTTTCTTGGGACCAGCCCCCTCTTGGCGCACTAAAAAACAACCAATTGTCTCTCGCTCTTCTGCCGAAGCTGAATATCGTGTTATGGCCTCTGCAACTAGTGAAATTACTTGGCTCTAGTTACCACTACATGAATTACATATTTCACCTCATCCTGCTCGCCTCCATTGTGATAACCAAGCCTCTCTACACATCGCCAACAACCATGTTTTTCATGAACGTACGAAGCATGTTGAAATTGATTGCCATTTTGTCCGCGAACGTGTCCAAAATGGCACTCTCCTCACTTCATTTGTGCCTTCAGACCTACAATTGGCAGACATCTTCATCAAAAGTCTAAAACCTCCTTGCTTCCGCTCCATTACTTCCAAGCTCATGACTCGGCCTTGAGCTTGAGGGGGAGTCAAACAGCTATTTTCTATTATAGTATATTTCTCCTATTTAGTTTATACCTTGTATAGCTTTTCATTTATTGTTGATTTGTTTCCTAGAATAAGGTTACCGTTATTGTCTCATGTACATGTACTTGTATAAATACCCATTTATATGTTAATACAATCATCAATTCCCATTCTCAAAATCTCCTACAATTTTCATAATTTGTTAATCCAACTGTTTTTTTCTAAATTTATTTATTATTATTGATCTAGTTAAATATATACATGTGAGATTCGACTTTTATTGGTAAATTATTCAAACATTAGTTTGTCATTGGTTTCCATTGATTAAACATTTTTTCATTTTTTACATTAGAAACTATCACTGGTGAAAAAGGAGCATGGCATCAATCAACAATTCTTAGTTAAGAAGACAAGAAATGTGTTGTCTTTTACGTAAGTGTTGTTTATAAGATAATACTACCTTCGTAACCCTAGAATCTTCCCATTACAAAATTTGGTGAGATTAACTACAGTAACTAGACACACACTCTAAAGTAGGGATGTATTCGGGCCGGGTCGGGCCCGGGCCGGGCCTAGGCCCGGTCGGGCTGCCGGTTCAAGAATAGTGGGCCCGGGACCGGCCCGAGGGTTGGACGGGTCCGGTTCGGGCCGGGCCACCCGCCCGGGTCACGGGTCGGGTCCGGTTCGGGCCGGGCCGTTTTTTTTTATTTATAATTTATATTTTATAGTTTATAGTTTTATACGAGTATTAAAAACAAACTTCAATTGCATTTATTTGAAATGAAATAGGAACTACATTTGAAAATTAAAACAAACTTTAAGAGATAAACATTTTGAAAATTGTAATCAATCGGAACTTCCCGCACCTCCCGATCCTTTGGCTTTGTCACATGACTTCATATGCTTGATTGCCATCCCGAATCCGCCTGAAGCCCCCATGCTACATTTTTTCTCGCACCATTTGCAAATTGCGTACCACATCCCGGTCTTCGGGTCCTTCTGCTTATCAAAATTATACCGTATAATGGCATCTTGATTTTCCATCTTAACTTCTTAAGTATAAACTATAAAGTAGATATATAAATAATAAATATAATATATTGGAGAATAAGAGAATTAGAGAGTAGAGAGTTAAGAATAGGATTTAGGAAGAATTGGAGAAAAGATATGAAAAAATGTTTAAGATTAGGAGTATTTATAGGTTTTTTTACCCCCACCCCCCCACCCCCCCACCAGCCAACCCCCCCGGACCCCCCCTTTACCCCACCCAATGGCTATATAGCCGTTTGGGTTGTCCCCAGCCCCACCCCAACGGCTAGTAGCCCAACCAAACAAATTTTTTTTTTTAAATCAGACCGGACCCGGGCCTAGGCCCGACCCGGCCGGGCCGGGTCACATTATTCCAGCACCGAGCCCGCCCCGCCCCTTCCCACCGGTTCGGGCCCATACCCGATCCCGGACCGCCCGACCAGGCCGGTCCCGGGCCCGCACAGTACCGGGCCGGGTCACGGGCCGGGTGGCCCGAACCGAATCCAACCCTACTCTAAAGACTGTTCTGTCCTTGTGAAGTTCTAAAAATTATTGGAAAAAGTCCAAACTTTAGGGAGTCCTCAGCCAAACTTTAGTAGGGCATGAGTGGGCCAAGACCTGATGGCCATTTGGCCTCATTATGTTTTAAATTTCAAATTTAAGGGTAATATGGAAAATCCAAAAGCAATAAGTGAGGGTAGAATGGATAAATTGGTTTATTTTTATTTTCATTTTTAGGAAGGGGAAGATCTTTTCGTTACGGACGAAAAAGGAAAGTGAGAAGTTCTTTGCTTTAAGGAGGAAGTAATACATATTGTGTGTTGTATACCTATCACAAATATTACATTGTAGGAGAGAGAGGGTTCAATCAAACATGTGCTTGGAATTCCAACGTGCAGGCAGGAAACGGGGATGAATGGCTTCTACAAAACTTTCTCTCCATCTCTGAATAAATTCACGAATCCCCTCGTCCCCATGTTCTTTGAGTATAGATTCCACAACCCGCTTCCCATGAGGTCCATGCCCCCACATTGATTCCTTTAACTGTTCAGAAGAAACACTCTCGTCACTTTGTACAACTAAATCACTCTCAGTAGAGATATTCCCATTTTCTGATACAACCGGAATACATATGATGTCACTATTGGACTCTTGATTATTATTATCCGAAGCAGCAAAATCTGGTGGGGGGTGTTTCATATCAAATTTTTTATTTTGGCTAGAACCATCAACATCTTTACTGACAAAAAGTGGTATTCCAATCTCTTCAGCTATCTTCTCCTTGTATCTTTCACCAGCAACACGAGCAATTTCGTGGCAGTCCACACAGAGGAGGACAAGATTATGGTATCTGTAACTGTTAAAGTGTTCCGGGAAGTGCTTTATGTAGCACAAAGGTATAATACGGTACCTTAAGTAACGGTCACCTTCACCACATCGAACACACACATTTTGCTTATTTTCATAACAGAAGTCCTTGTCCTCATCCTCTGGACGTCGTTTGGGTTCAAACATAAGCATTATAGCAGGAGGGTCCTCTTCAACAAGTCTTGCCAAATTCTTCTTTAGGTACCTGCAATAAGCTTACTAGTTAATATACTTCGTATAACTTATGTGGATAAAAGGTGTTAGAGTCCCACCTCGAAAAAAAAGCGAGAATGATGAGTTGATAAGACATTGGTTGAACTAGCTAAGTAGCTAACAGAATGGATTCGATGTTATAGTGTGGTTTGGCTCAAAGAATCTTAATACAATCCTGATTTCTATCATAGTAAAGCAGAGTTTAGCTCAATTTGTTTGTATAGTTGTCTCTCTGAAATGGAAGTGACCAATTGGTTAGATTCGAAATGACTCAGACGTCCACTTAAAGGGAGGGGAGAATTAGAGATTCATACGTAGTATTGAATAAACTAAAAAGAGAGAACAGTGATGAATAAGACTTTGAGTTGAGACTCGTGTTTCAAGTCTAATATGCTGCCGGGCTTGTTTTAAAAAAGTGTATGAAATTTGTACTAACCACTCAAGTTTTCTACGGGCACAGAAACTTAAAAATCGACCATCACTTGTATAGATCCTACAGTTGTCATAGACTGGAGATTTACAATGCTGTGTTTTGTCAAACAGCTCTTGAAGAGCCTTCCGAGCCAGGGACGATTTTGCGGATTTATTTCTAACCACAGATCTGTCAGCTACTTCCAAGCTACTTTCAGATAACAAAGCAATATTATAGGCGGAGAGAGGACAACTTCCATTAACACCTAAGCATTTCTGAAGGATTTCAAGAAGGCTTTCCTCATCCTCACCTATTTCATCTTGAAATAAGTGACTAATAAAGTCTTCCATGTGACTACACGCTAGAGATGATGGAGATTGGGATGATGATATGTGATCCTCACTTGGATGGGATTCAGATATGATTTTGCGTATATCTCTAACATCTGTAGGGGCTTTAGCTGCTAGTGCAACAAGTGCTTGATCAGATAAAACATATCTTAAACTTTCGTCATGAACTCGAGCCTAAAAAGATATCAAATTATATTGTGAAGTTAAAATAAGAACATGCAAGTATCTCCAACTCAGAAAACCATAACACATGAATTAACAGATAAAGAAACTAGTGACTGAACAAAATAGTAGTCCACTCATGACTCACCATAATATCTCTCCATGCACACAATCTGCTCACAAGGTCGTGAAACTAAATGCCAAATCGAACATAAAAGATATAAGGTTAATAGCATTTAGTGGTATCTAACAAACTCTTCCAATTAAAGATTGAAACTTTAACAATTTTAGTCACACGACTATTACACTCTTTAGTCACACGACTATTACACTCTTTACAATTTTAGTCCACCAATATGTTGGTACATTACCATGATTTTGTGTCAGTTTTGGTCCTTTTCAGTTTTTAAAGTGGCAAAAATTGAAAGAATTGCAGAATTTTGCACTTGATTAATTAGAGAGACCAGAAGTAGAAAAAACTCTACATTTGTGCACCAAAGTTGAAAAATAACGCTGTAGACAAAAAATTGGAATGCCTTTAATAGTCGTGCGGCTAAAAGTGGAAGATTTTCTTAACACTGAAAGTATACGACCTTTGCATTGACAAAATTGGAAGGGAGATTTCCTTGGTCCCGATGACATCGAGAAATTATTGATGAAGCAGCAGAATATCCCGGATATGCTTCAATCACTTTTGAGAATAGTTGCAAACAAGTTGCATTGGAACGACTAGTGGCCTCAAGAACAAAAGTTAATTTGTTATTGAGACATGGTGAACTTTCTGTGCATAAAGAAGCAAGTAAAGAAGCAACCTCTAGGTAGGAAATGTGAAATTCACAGGATATATTCATATAAATAAATAAAACTCGAACAAAAATGGAATTTAGCATACCTAAATCTTGTATCTTCAGCTCCTTATAAACACAACACGCAATGTACATCAGATAGTGTGAATCTTTTTTAGCATAATGCAGCATTTCTTCTGGTAGAGGACGTTGCCTCCAATCTTCTCTCTGTCATTTAAATCTTCAAATATTGTGAACTGTTTTAGCATGTCACACCATGTAGTTCAACCATTTTCATTATAACTGAGTTGTGTGACCCTGACTCAATAATGAATTATATCATATACAAATGCCCATTTACCCAATCCAATATGGGAATGAAACGATATGGTTTATATGGTGCGAGAAAGAGATTGCAATAACTGAACCTTGAACCTTACTCGCAATTGTTTATTTGTAATGACACCACAATAAGTTTTCAACAAGTATGCCAATGAGTTCTGCGGTTTAGACAAAACATGACATGCCTGAAATATGAAATCATTATAAAACCACAAGGAGAAGTAATCTTGAAGGCTAGAAAAACTTTAAGGTGGTAATAATTTTTTTGACAAACTTTACCTTTGCAGTGTCAAATAGGTTAACAACATAAATATGAAAATCTCTTTGAAGCCAGAGAACATCATTATCAGCTCCATGGAATACCTAATGCACAAACAAAGATAATCGATGAAAAAAAGCATACTAGTTTCATAAAAAAAGGGAAAAACTAAAATTTTGGCCTACAAAACCTTAATGGCCTACAACATTTCAAGGATCAATCCGGGATCAAAATTTTGGGGAAAATCAATAGATCAATTTCATAATTTTAATGAACATGTTTTATTTATAACCCGCAACAACAACAACCATAACATTACCCCAGTGCCGCAAAGGCTCCCACCTATGATGGGGTAAGGTGGTTGGATGTACGCAGTCTTACCTCTGTACTGTTTCCGGATGACCCATGATGAAATTTGCATAAAAAATTGCATGCTTACTACTGCTTCATAAGAAAGAAGCGCACACAGTTTAGTGACCCATTTTGTTTTGTTCCGTCATATTTTCAAGCCATAAAATAGTGAGTCTTAGACTATTGGAAATGATGGAAAATTTATAACCTGCACATATGTGGAATTTAAAAAAATAGTCAACTTTGACTATCTTTCATAATTTTGAATGTAAACACACACAAAGAAAGACAATTCTCTTTACATATAAGTTCTCAGTTCTATACACAGTCTAAACGAATTACCTTACAAATCCCTGGATCAGCAAATATAGGCCGGAGGATGCCCATCAAGTCATGGAGGGCTATTGCATCAACAAGATAATCCTCCCTCTTTGTTGATATCTATTTCGCCGACCCAAAGCCAACATCAGAATTTACACATATGAGAATGGTTCGGTTCAGGTGAGAATGGCTCTTCCGATGAAAAATGAGAATGATGCAAAGTGGTGTAAATCGAGGTTCATAGAGTTTACATGTTTTTTTGCAATAGCAGAAAAAAATCACTTCATTTACAAAAATGACTCCATGTTTTTTCATTTATGAGAATGCATCTTTCGATTTAGAAAACGCGAAATTCTCAAATTTATTGCTCCACATTCATTTTCATTTCTCTCCTTAGGTCATATTCTCATTTGGTCCAAATTCTATATACATGTGTGTGTACATATATATGTATAATATATATAGCTTATGCACACACATAGAGACAAATTACTAAGAGGAATATTCAGTACAGGTGTACAAAATAGACTGTAAAAAAAGTCAATATATGAACCTGAACTAAGCAGGTCAAACCTAAGAAGGATCTCACACTATCATGCTCCACATCTACACCAAATATCCTTTCCCCACTCAGCACTTCAGCCAACTCCTGCAACTGTGACCCAGTTTCCACCCACACATACGAACCACGGCTCTTTAATTCATCCAAATTCTCATTATACTTCTCCAAAGCCTTCACATTCGACTCCTTCAGCAATGCCGAAATCTCTGTCATGTATGGATGCAAACTCGTGCATTTCTCTATCAAACACACCAAATTCATATTACAGACTCGTAGTTGATAGAGTTCTAAATGAGACAAGTAAATAATCTTGAAAAGAATGAACTAATTGGTGAAAGTTGTTCCTTTTTAGTGTGATCTGTCCTAAGTGCCTATATATAGTTCAGTTGGGTGATCCAATCCAATTCTGTATTTGGCCAAGCTCAAGTGACCAAATGCACACAATTAAGCAAAACTTAATGATTGCACAAGTTCCATGAGATAGTTTATCCGGGCCTTATAAACTCATATGTTTCTAGTCTCTCCTTGATCCTAAATGTCAGGATAGTTAACAGTACAAAAATTTAAAGTTTAGTTTTTAAAGCAACAAATGAAACAAAATAAAGTTGTGGCGGTTACGGGCGGTGGAGGTGTCGGCGGGATGGAGGCTGAGGTGTTGAAAGTGAGAATAAGAGTTATCGGCCAAGACGCGCTTGAAATCGTACTGAGGTTTGGGCTCTGCTCTGAGATAACAAGGAGGAGGTGATGACGAAGGATTTCTGCGACTTGGTCTTTTACGCTGATGAAGTTTGGATGCAAGGAAAAAGTAGATTGCAAGCGTGACACAAGAGGCGAGTGTAAGAGCTGCTACCTTCACTCTGTCTCCCTTCTCCATTGTAGAGAAGCGTATATTCCGATATTCGTATCTGTGCTCCCGCCTGATCCGCTGATTTGTTTCAATACTGGCAGAAGCTTGGACTTGAGAAATTGACGGAATTATCAATAGTTTATTTTTTGAAAGAGACACTTTCTTAAAAGTAGTCCCTTTTTTGAATTTAACTAAACAAATGACTATTTGAGTTGGACGGTATGCTAGAGGTTGCAAGAGTTAAAGTAAATGTCAAATGCATAAAAAGGCATAATAAAAACTTAATATCATTCAATGCTAGATAAAGTTTGCTTGATTTTATACACCATTTCAATTCAGTAAGATATATTCCTATCATTGTACTATATTCATTTTAAATAAATGCAACAATCCACATTTCGCGTTTGACGATGCATAACTTTGATCATAAATATATTTAATTTTCTATTAGTAAAACAATTAAAAAATCATACCTTGAAATTTGGGATGAGTCAAATTTAAAAATATTTTTTTAAAATAATTTATTAATACATAAATAAAAAAAACGTAGTCAAAGTACAACATGTGAATATTGTCAAATTCAACACGCCGCACTTATTTAAGAACAGATGAAATATGATATTAGCTCTTCAAATTTTTGTAATTCAAGGTTACTGTTAGAAAACCGGACCAGCTCAGACCTCAATCACCACAAAGCCCAAGGGCTTGCTCACACTCACCACCAGAGTTACAATCAGGGAAGACGAAGGGCGACAGCCAACAAGCCCTCACAACCAGACCCCAGACCCCAGCCCAAAAGACCCACCGGAGGTAAAACCAACCCACCACACTACCAGACTAGAGTGAAGACCCCCAAGGGAACCCCAACGTATCACCGGAGTATAGCCGGAGCTAGTACTCTCCGGGAACAGAAACTCTCTCACTCTAGGTCTAGGGAAACCAACCGATTGCTTCATCGGAAGGAGGAAGAAGGGGAGGAGTCAAATAGGAGATTCGAGAAAGAACCAGACAATATAAGAGAGGGCCACACGGGCATGGGCTGGGTATAAGACAAGGGATAAGGGAATGGGCTTGGTCAGGTTTCCAGCCCAGTTGGGCCAGAGCATTAAATAGGAGACCAACTTATTAAATGAGGTGGACCAAGACATAGAGGTGGCCCGGGTGAGGTGGACCAATACCATCAACAATCTCCACCTTATTGGCCCCCCTGGTGGTGTAGAGCACAACGTGAAAGGGAGAATCATCATCACTGATTTTTCTTGTTTTACAGTTCTTATCTAGCCACAATCTAAATTAAGAATACGTTTACAAGACAACAGTTTTTCAAAAGTGAGACATTTAGTCCCCATATAAGCAGGGTTAAATTCAGAAGGTATCTTGGACAGCTTTATCCAACCTGCATCCACAATATTTCTTATAAAATGAAACCTGACATCAATGTGCTTGGTCCTGTCATGGAATACATGATTCTTGCACAATTGGATAGCAGACTGGCTATCAGAGTAGACTGTCACAACCTGCTTAAGAAAACCAAATTCAGTTAGCATTCGTTTAAGCCAAATAGCCTCTTTAAAGGCCTCAGTGGCTGCCACGTATTCAGATTCAGTAGTGGACAGTGCAACAATAGGTTGTAGTTGAGATTTCCAACTTATGCAGGAACCACAAAGAGTAAAAATGTAGGAAGTAGTAGACTTTCTATTGTCCCTATCATTTGCATAATTGGAGTCAACATAGCCAGTAAGTAAAATGCCAGTTTCAGTTTTAGAAAACACAAGACCATGAGAAGATGTACCCCTAAGGTATCTAAGGAGCCATTTAAGGGCAGTCCAGTGAGACATACCAGGGTTTGCCATATATCTACTTAAGCAGCTAACAACATAAGCTATATCAGACCTTGTGCTTACCATGAGATACATGACTGACCCTATAGCACTGGAATAGGGTACAACCTTCATCCTATCTATCTCAGGAGCAGTCCTTGGGGATTGATCCTTGCTTAGCACAGAAATGGGGTGCTAAGGGAACATTCACAGGTTGGGCAGAGTCAATTTTGAACTTTTTCAAGACCTTTTCTAGATAGGAGGTTTGGTTCAGGGTAAGGGTACACCTACTCCTATCCCTAAGTATATTAATCCCTAGGATTCTCTTAGCATCTCCAAGGTCTTTCATAGCAAAATTTTCACAAAGGCACTTTTGAACAATCTTAATAGCATTCACATAGGGGTTAATGATAAGCATGTCATCAACATAGATCAACAAGAAAACAGGTACAGAGGCAGTATTCTTAAAATACAAACAAGGGTCAGAATCAGACCTTTTGAAGCTCAGGGAAGACATACACTGATCAAACTTGATATTCCATTGTCTGGGAGACTGTTTCAGGCCATAGAGGGCCTTCTTAAGTAGACAAACATGTCTAGGGTACTTAGGGTCAACAAAACCCTCAGGTTGGCTCATGAAAATCTGTTTATCTAGTTCACCATGCAGGAAAGCAGTGGTAACATCCATCTGCCTCATCTCCCAGTCATTATGGGCAACTAGGGCAAACATCATCCTAATTGTTGTGAATTTTACTACGGGAGCAAAATTTTCAGCATAGTCTACCCCTTCCTTTTGAGTAAAACCTTTAGCCACTAACCTAGCTTTAAACCTAATGTCATTTGGTTCTTCTTTAACTTTGAAAAGCCATTTGCACTCAACAACAGAACAATTAGGAGTCCTAGGAACTAGGGTCCAGGTTTTATTCAACTTAAGAGAATCTATCTCACTTTGCATAGCACATAGCCAATTTTTAGATTCTCTAGAGGCAAGGGCTTCCTGGTAGGTTTTAGGCTCATTCAACTCAAGAGTTTCAAAAACAAAGAAAGCAAATAATGAAGTATCATACAGGTGAAATGCATAGTCAGTCATGCTATCAGAAATCTTCTTTATGTTTCTTCTAGTCCTATCTCTGGCTAACACATAATCATCTAGACTTTCATTCTCAACTTGGATCTCTCCAAGTTCTTCATTATCAGCAAAATTAGATTGAACAATCACATCATGCAAATTTTCATCATTACTATTAGAACCACTGGGCTGCTCCACCTCACTGGAGGTGGAGTGGGTGTCATGCACAGTGTTGGTCAAGTCAGGAGTAATAAACTCATTTAACAGAGGGGCAGCAGTGGTCTGGATAGGCTCCACCTCACTAGGAGAGGTGCCATCATGCACAGTTTGAGGGGCACTCACATTTTTAACTAAGCAGGGAAAATCACTTTCATTGAACACAACATTTCTGCTTATAATGACCTTAAAACCACTCTGGTTCCTATCCCAGATCCTATATCCTTTAACACCTTCAGGATATCCTAAGAAAATGCATTTCTTAGATCTAGGGTCTAGCTTATCAGTCTGTTGGTGTACATAGGCAGCACACCCAAACACCTTCAGGTGTGACAGGTCAATGGGTTTCTTAGAGAAGACAACCTCAGGACATTTACCATCTAAGGGTACAGAAGGAGATCTATTTATCAAGTAGGTGGCAGTGTTGACAGCTTCTCCCCAAAACTTCTTGGGGAGGCCAGAAGTGGCAAGCATACTCCTAACCTTGTCTAGGAGGGTCCTGTTCATTCTCTCAGCCAAGCCATTCTGTTGGGGAGTATAGGGCACAGTTTTGTGTCTCCTAATCCCACTCTCAATACATAACCTATCCATATCCTTATTGCAGAATTCTAATCCATTGTCAGTTCTAAGGGTTTTAACCTTACATCCAGTTTGATTTTCTACCATATTTTTCCAGTCTTTAAACCTAACATACACATCAGATTTATGTTCTAGCAAACAGATCCAGACTTTTCTAGAAAAGTCATCAATTATGGACAGAAAATACCTCCTACTCCCATGGGTAGGGACACTGGAAGGACCCCATACATCTGCATGTATGTAGTCCAGGACAACTTTGAACTTAGGCTCACTAGGATAGCTAGAAACAGGAAACTGAACCCTATGTTGTTTACCTAAGACACAACCTTCACAGAAAGGTATAGGTGACACCAAGTCATTACCAAAACATCCAGTTTGTTTCAAAATGTTTAATCCTCTATTACTCATGTGACCTAGTCTTTGGTGCCAAAGCACAGACTTGTCACTAAGTACAACATTAGCATTTTCAGAAAAAGGTTTGGCATGCACAACATAAAAGTTATTTTGTTTCAAAGCTTTAAACAAAACAAGGGAGTTTTTCAGAATTTTCATACACCCATTTCCCCGTTTACCCTCAAAGACCACATTCTTCAAAAGCAGAGACTGAAAATAGGTTATGCCTTAGATCAGGTACATGCCTGACATTTTTAATTTGAAAAACAGTTCCATTTTCAAATTTTAGACAGATGTCACCAATACCAAGGACCTTACACCTTTTACTATCAACTAAGGAAACAAAACCAGTTTCACATAAGTTATAGGAGGAAAACAGATTCCTAAAAGGGGTCATATGGTAGGTACACCCAGAGTCTATTAACCATTCAGATTCAGTCAGACTACTAAGCACAGAATTAGCTTGATCACAGACCATAAAAACTTCTTCCTCTACAGGTTTACTAGTCACAGCATTAGCCTGGTCATTTCTCTTAGGTTGGGTGCAATCTTTTATGAAGTGTCCTGGGTTACCACAGTTATAGCAGACTCTTTTCCTAGATTTATACCTCTTCTTACTAGGTTGTCTACCATTCTTATCCTGATTGTCCTTTTTAGGGTGTCTAGACCTGCTTTTAGACCTTCCCCTAACAAACAAAGCTTCCCCAGACTCCCTATGATGGTTCCTAGAATGTTTTAAGTCAAGTTCTTTACTTCTCAGGCCATTAATAACAATATCTAGGGTTATGTCATCCCTCCCATATTTAATGGCAGACTTAACATCATTATAGGAATCAGGTATAGCATTTAATAAGACTATGGCAGTGTAGTCATCTATATGTTTATCCCCAGCCTGCTTAATGTTTTGGATTAGTTTATTAAAAACATCTAGGTTTTCATCAATATCTTTTGTTAGGTCAAGTCTGAACCTAAAAAACGTTTCCAACAAAAACAGTTTGCCAGGAAGGGAAGTATCAGTATATAGAGACTCAAGTTTATCCCAGAGGTCTTTAGCAGACTCAATGACTCCA